AGGCTGTGTTCTTTATTACTAACTCAGCTAGTTGTAGTTGATGTTTATTCACAACCTTAACCCTAACTTGCTTCTATGTGGCATTTATATGATTTAGAGCAATACTAGAACTAACCTATTCCAATTTGTTTTCTAATGGGTTGGCAGCATGCAGGTTCCTATAAATCCTTTGTGAGGTACACCTTCCAATCAGGTTAAAATATTGAAAACTTCTACCCAATGATGAGTCACATGAATCTTAGGGAAAACCATGGGAGAGTTGAAAACCAAAGACCCTCTGGACACGGGCATGCAAAAATGTTCCGACTTATGTATTTGAATCAGATGTTTATTTCATTGCATGTTGTCATTTTGGCAGCACTGCAATTTGATGCAGATGCTGCTGGTTCTAACGAGAACGTTCAGGTGGATGTGCCCTAGGCCGGTTCATGAAAGGAAGGAAACTCAAAAGGCTGGCCTGAGCACAAAAGTTATGTAACTGTTCCCCTGCTTCACTCCGTGCTGTCTTTCCTCTTTCAAGACATCATCACATCCCGAGAGTCTCGGGCTACTGATTTTTCAGGCTTTGGCCATGGCTTTGGTTGATTTAAGCTTTTGTGCAGCCACAAATTAATTTCCTTTCCCTTCAAATCTTCCTTCAGAGTGACAGAGAGGATGCAGGAAAAGGAAGTTTATGGCAAAATGGTTGTTCCTTTTTCAGCCTTCTCTTTTCTTCTCATCTCTTCACTGATTGTTTTGTTCTTCCTTACCTTGGAACAGCTTCACGTGCATCTTATGTTTCTCTCCAGGAGAAGAATCTTCCAGTTGGAGTTTTGCATTCTGATTCCTCCCCTAACAATTCTGATCCAGATCGCAGGTAACAAATGTATTTCACTGAGTTTGCATTGGTTTTAATTTCTTTACAACTCTCAAATCTATCAAGAGGTTTGTAGGTATTAAATTTTTTACAGTAAAAGTAACGTTATGCCAGTTGTCAACTATGTTTATCTTAAAATGGGGTTCTTAAATTAGTAACCTAGAGGGACTCAAACATTTTTTAAAGTTTTGACTCAAGAATGATGATCAAACCCAAACTTTCGAATCTTACGTTTATGAATCTTGCTTCCTTTTCCTAGCAGAAGCAAAAGGATGCTAAAAACTATCAACATAGTCTTATTTTAGTTATTACTTGTTATAGAAATTTGTTTTCCAATAACATTGTTTATATTTACAATCTCTATTTAGTTTTATTCTTTTTGTGTCTTCATGTCAGTGCTGATTGTGCTTTTCACAATCTGATTCTCTCCTCCTCCTCTTCTTTTCCACCCAATTGGCTTCATGCCTAATTGGGATTAAAACTTGCTTTTCCCCAGTTTCTAGCTTGATGTCTACTGCACCAAACTAGTTCTCCAATTTGTTTTTCAAAATATTTATATGTGTGTTAAAATCCATTTTTATGGCCAAAGTATAAAGTTTTGTAATTTGTTTTGAGTACCAGTCTGGTGTAGTGATTCAGGCATCAAGCTAGAAACTGGGAAATTGTGAGTTCTAGTCTCACGTTAGGCACAAAAGCCATCTGGGTGATCTTGGGCCAGTTATTTTCTCTCAGCAAGGAGAAAGGAGGAGAGAAGGAAGTAAACCATTTCTGAAAATCTTGCCAAGAAAAATGCAGCAGGAGTCAAAAACTGACTTTGAATCACAAAAAGAATGCTTTGGTTAAAGTAGAAGTATTTCATTATATATTTGGTGCAACTGAAATAGGCAAAACATTTGGACATTGGCTATGTGTGTACCAATAGTTGGGTTTGCTTCTCTCAGATTGAATTGAATGTCTCCAGCTGAGAAATCTCCCACTGTGGCGTATTTTTCCATAGCCTGTGGGCTACTGTGTACATGTCAGTGAAATTCAGCATTTTACCTGTGCTTGTAAGGAATGTTAAATAAATAGTGATATACTCACTGCTAGGAGGAGAGCTGTGCTATGCTTATGCCTTTTAATGCAATTGGTTAGAGAAAGCGCTAGACTGCTAGTAGGAAGACTAAGTCACTGATTGTTTAGTACTGAAATTTATTTCAAATTCCATACAAAGTCTAATTTTATTTCAAAATATTGAAACTGGAATTCATTAGGGTTTACCTTTTAAAAAAGGATAAAGGCTTCCTAATATTTTGTATATATATGCTAGCTATTCAGTGAAAGGATATGTCAGTGAAGACTTATGTTTGCTCACTTTAAAGCAATCGTTTCACCTACCCCTCTTCTGTTCTTCTTTTCCTTCTTTATTCATTGCCCCAAGCCTAACAGTTGGGTATGTACAATTCTCCTCTTTCACGACTCAACTCCAGCCTTCTATTAAAGCTGACAACCATCCACTAAACCATTGTTAGTTTTGAGATGTCATAAAACATAGCTATTTTTAGAAACTAATGCTTTAAAAATAAGGAGGTATTCCTCTGAGTCAGTTAATTCTCAGCAACCGTCTGGACAAGTTCCTGCAGTTTTCTTGGCACACTTCAGAAGTGGGTTTTCCTTGCTTTTTTCCTGAGGTTGCGAGAGAGTAACCGGTTCAAAGCAAGACTGGAATTCACAAGCTCCTGGTTTCTTACCCTGCTACCTTTAATTTTACCACCACAGTTTCTCAAGGAGAGATTGAGAGCATTAGGAAAAGTGGAAAACATGAAAATAGTAAAATATAAAGAGCAAGAAAGGGATGGGAAATGTCCTAGTGTCCCAGAGTAAAGTGGAATTTAAAATTAATCTGGACAGTTCTGGAGCTGACTGGGAAAATCAATTCAGGCACTGAGAGAAAAAGCTTTCGTTTCTATGCACCATTCTAGGCAAGCACCATCTTTGCTTGCCAGGTTAGAGGAATAAAGGGCAAAGAAATAATATTGATCTTAATTGTTTGACTGCAGCTTTTCTGAGATAAATTCCTAATTCCAATTTATTTGCCTTTCTTGTAGTATTACACTTCATTTGAAGATTTCCTGCCCATCTTCTCCTGCCTTTAGCTATTCTCGAAGCCCCATCTGTACTGTACCCCAGGTGAAGATAGAGATGGGATCCAATTATGAAGATACCGACACCGAGAGACAGCACCCCCAGGACATGGGCAGTGAAACTACCCTCTAGTCTCCACATGCCTTTCCCCCCTATATTATAGACCCAGAGGTCACTGGGTTTTCCTGGGCCTTATTCACCACTAAAGAATTGAACACAAACATTAGATGAGTTGTGGATCTCAAGCAGACTTTGATTCAGACATTGTGGGATAGTTCAGGACCAGAGTCTATGGGGGTAAAGGAATTCCTTAGACTGGGAGCAATTTTAGCTTATCAGATTGCATCCTTGTTGAACATTGTGATGATGAGATGTTCCCGGCATTCTTCAGCATCTTTAACTTGAATTTATTCTGTGTTGCAGCAGTCTGGAATTCAGTTTAGCCAGTAGCTGAGCATTTAATCCAAGGAGCCATAAAACCACCCCTCTGATTTCTCACTTTTTTTTGCACACTTCTTGACTAAACCTAAATTTCTAAGTAACAAAGCAGGCGTCACTCCTAAACTATGATTTGAGAAAATGGGTGGAACACTCCCATTCCATTCATCCATTCCTACCAAATGGATGGAAGAACTGATCTGTGCTTCTCTGAACAAGAAAAAAAACAGCTGTGTTGGAAATGGGGTCAAAATCTAACCAAGGAAAGAAAATTAAGTTTACTGTTGCTGTCCTCTTTAACCAAAATCCTATTTCTCTCTTCTTCAAAATGGATCTGATGATGAGCCATTCCATCACCCAGCACAAACTTGTTGCCACCATCCTTGCCATCATGATGGCAACACAGCATTAGTGGCAAAACACTGGCATCATACTCTTATGAGGAAAGTGAATGAACCCCAATTATAGCTTTTAATAAATGTGAAGATATGTACCGTATTTTTTGGAGTATAAGACATTTATTTATTATTATTATTTATTTATTTATTCAATCTGTATGCCGCCCCTCTCCAAAGACTCAGGGTGGCTCACAATGTATTTAAAATCATTATAAAAAACATTTAAAAATTAAAAACATTAAACTCATTCACACCATTCATGGCTGGATCTCGCCGGATCACAAGAGCGAGATCAATGGCCCCAGGCCTGCTGGAAAAGCCAGGTCTTCACCACTTTTCGGAAGGCCAATAGGGTGGGGATGGTCCGGACCTCAGGAGGTAACTGGTTCCAGAGAGCTGGGGCAGCCACAGAGAAGGCCCTCCTCCGTGGGCCTGCCAGCCAGCATTGTTTAGCTGATAGGACCTGGAGGAGACCAACTCTGTGGGATCTTACCAGTCGTTGGGAGTTATGCGATAGAAGGCGGTCTCAAAGATACCCTGGCCCTGAGCCATGTAGGGCTTTAAAGGTAATAACCAACACCTTGAATTATGACCGGAGACCAATAGGGAACCAGTGCAGCTTGCGGAGAATTGGTGTAATGTGGGTGTACCTAGGTGCATCCACGACAGCTTGCGCGGCTGCATTCTGGACCAACTGTAGTCTCCGAACACTTTTCAAGGGTAGCCCCATGTAGACATACTTTCCCCCCCAAAAAAATAGGCTGAAAATTTGGGTGTGTCTTATACTCCGAATGTAGCTTTTTTGAGTGAAGCGATCTCAGTGCTTTGCCTGCTTTTCTCATTGCTTCTCTCCAAAGATCAACTGTGCTTTAGAAGCTGTTTTTCACCCTAACAAGGCGCTAGCGAGTGAATCATCTTCCGAGCTTTGCCTGCTTTTCTCCATTGCTTCTCTCCAAAGATCAACTGTGCTTTAGAAGCTGTTTTTCATCCAAATTATGACATAACAAATTATGCTGACACTTTTCTGCCAATCCCAGGATGGCAGAAACATTCATTAATTTGACCACAAGGAAACACACAGGATTACCTTCCCAGCAGAGACCCTGCAATGTCGGACAGAAAAAGACTGCCAGCCATGCCACAGCTAAATTCAATCTGACAAAATATATGATGGAACTCAAGACTTTACAAGCAAGTAACAATTACTTTTATTCAGATACATCCAGCAATATTACTACTTGCTCAGATAAACACAAAGCAAGTTGGAATAAGCATGGAGAACTCACATTTATTTTATCTTAAGCATCGTCTAGCTTTCAAGCCAATTTTTCCTTTAAAACAGGAAAAAACTGAGTACTGAACAGGCTGAACTGCTTTGCTAAGCACTATTAAATATAAATATGGCTTTGTAGAAAATAGTAACTTTTGACTCCAGATTAGCTGCATTATAATCCTAACAAATAATTTATATCCTGGCTTCAGCCAAGGTTAGTCAATTCAAGTGTATGCTAAAACATTTTTACTATAAAAACACATTTTTGGCCCTTTGTTACTCTTTCAGGCTGCCTAAAGAGTGAGGAATCAACTTTCTCATTCAAGTTGTATTCTCATTTTCTGCATTTCAGAATAGCAGTTTAAAAGATAGGAATCATGTATACGACTGGCAGGGGCTACGCTGCCTTGGAAGAAAATTGCTTCATATAAATATTGCAGAGCAGCTGGCCAAAACATTTCATCAAATAAATAAATACTGCATTGCTTCTAGGGAGACACTCTGGAATGTCACTTTTGGCCACAAGAAGTCCATCATCAAGCAGTGAAGGTTTCAAAATGCTGGGCTCGCAGCATTTTCTTGGCAGCAATAATGGTATTTTTCATAAGCATAGCAACAGTCATGGGGCCAACCCCACCAGGAACTGGCGTGATGTAACTGGCTTTCTGCTTGACTCCTGAAAAAGGGGAAAGAAAGAAGAAGTGCAGCATTTAGATGGCAGCTCTAAGAATAACAGAGTAACAGTTGGAAGAGACCTTGGAGGGCTTCTAGTCTAACCTCCTGCTCAAGCAGCACCCAGACTATCCAACTATCCAACCTCTTCTTAAAACCTCCAGTGATGGAGTACCCACAACTGCTGGAGGGAAGCAGTTCCACGGGTTAATTCTTCTCACTCTCAGACAATTTATCCTTAGTTCTAAGTTGGATCTCTTTTTAATAATTTATTACTTCTTGTCCTGCCTTCAAATGCTTTGGAGAATAAGTTGATCCCGTCTTGTGATAGAAGTCTTCCAATATTTGAGAGGCTATCATGTCACCCCTAGTCCTTCTCTGTCAGACCAGATGCACTGAGGTCCTGCAACTATTCATCATGCGCTTTAGTCTCCAGTCCCCTAATCGTCTTTGTTGCTCTTCTTTGCACCCTTTGCACTGTCTCAAAAATCTTTTTTGTGTCGTGGTGACCATAAGTGCAGTATTTCAAATGCGGTCTTACCAGTGCAGTAAGTAAAGCAGTACTTCATATGATTTTGACATTATCCCTCTGACAATGCAGCCTAGGACTATCCTGGGGGTTTTGGTAGATGCAGCACACTGCTGGCTTATATCTAAGTGGTTGTCCACTAGGATTCCTAGAACCTCTCACACAGTTACTGCTGTTGTGCCAAGTACCTCATATTCTATATAACTCTGCATTTAGTTTTTCTTGCCCGTGTAAAACCTTACTTTTCTCATTACTGAATTGCATTGCATTGCATTGAATTTCTTAACTGCAAGAAAGTCCCTTGTCTCGTAACTGAGTTCCCCCTTCACAGAATACCCTCCTGCGACTGCCCTCCTCCCTCCTTTTCACAATGGCCTCGAGCTTTTGTTAACTGTACAGCAACTCAAGATCAGGGTTCAGATGATACACACTCATTTTCTGAACCCTTGGCTTTGAATGACTGAAATAAGATCACATACAGAAAGTCACAACAACTTTCCAAATCCCATAACCTACCCAAAGCTTTTCCCAATAGAGATGCAGTATAAAGTTACAGGGAAGAACTACAGGCTCTGGGGACAAAGTATTTAATAGTTAGCTACATTACCACCAACTTCATTTCCTGCCATTTGGAAAAATGATGCAAGTTGTCCAAAGATTAGCTTCCTAACTTGTTCAAAACTACAAATTACTTTCTGCATTAGAGTAGGCATGTAGAGGCAAGTGATATTATAGCTCCAGTAGTTGAAATTGGACCCCCTACCCCCTTGTCAGAATGCAAATCTTCATATCAAGAAGGGATTTAGACCTTACAAATCAATTGCCTACCTTCAAAATCCACATCTCCAACAAGTTTTGGCTTGGCAGTGACAGGATCCTGGATTCTGTTTATGCCAACATCAATTACAGCAGCTCCTTCTTTGATCATATCAGCTGTAATCAGATTGGGAATGCCTGAAAAACAGTAGTTAATATAAAAAAACTACTATGGTTTGCTTAGTTCACCGAGGTGACAGAAAGACAGAAAACGCAGATCATGGCCAGGCCTTTGGCTTGGGACCCCTCCCGAGAGCTCCACATGACTTTCCAGAATGCAGAAGGGCCCCTGCAGAGGCTTCCTAGCACTGTCACTTGGTTGGGGGTCAATAGCTTCCCCTCACCTCAGGAGGTTCTTTTTTCAATTTTCTCTCCTAAACAAGCCGCTCAAGACCTTACCTGCAGCTGCAACCACAATGTCAGCAAGGATTGTGTGCTGTTTGAGCTGCTCTTTTGGAGTGTAGCGGTGAGAAATTGTTACTGTTGCATCCCCTAAAAAATAATAAAATATAATAATAAAATATGATAAACAACAATAATAATGATGGAACAATTTACTCTGGACCCATTAAAAAGCCATATAAAGCAGAAATGAATGAAGCTCATGTTTCCTAGAGAGCCTGAAAGTTTTGCAAACAACTTGTTAAATTCCTGCATTGTAATTAATAGCAGTGGCACTAGAATAGACGATAGGATCAAGATCTGGGATGGTTTGAGCTGAAAGGACCATAAATTCTATCCTGCTCAAAACAACTCTTGGACTAAGCAATCTAGCTTTAATCCGGAAGCCCCTCCGACTGGGCTACAGTTGAGGGATCTTGTGGGTTTCACCGAAGAAAACAAGGTTTGTACGGTCCTGAGAAAGCAACTGACCCCAACATATCAAAGTGGGTGGATTGCAGCCTTGGAGGAAGACGCTCCTGCAGAGATGGCAGTGTGCTTCCCCTACTGGCCATTCACATCTACCCTCCAGTTCAGAGGACTCTTGATTCCAAGAAACCAGCATCTTGGAAATGCAACAACACAAAGATGCAGCTCACTGCTCTCTGCCTGCCTGCTTTGGCCTTTAGGCTGGCAAGCTGGCTCCTTGGCCCTCTCACCCCTCCTGAAATGTGCCTCCGTATTGCCACAATGAGGGCACACAAGTCTCAACTTTTCCCCCAAAGCTATGCGTTAACTCATCTAGGCCCTCACCTCCTGGGCGCTCATGCCGTCCGTCTGTGTGGAGAAGCATTGCAATGGGCATGCCAACGTTCTTGGATCGCCCTGCCACCACCACATTCTTGCCCAGGGTTGGGATCCCTGCAGTAAAGTACACAAAAGCCCCTCAGGGAAGGTGTTTTCCCGGGAATATCGCCATCAACAGGATAGCAAAAGCAATAGCATTTAGACTTAGGTACTGGTAGTCCTCAACGTACAATCACAATTCAGCCCAAAATGTATGTGGCTAACTGGGAAATTTGTTAAGTGAATCTTGCCCTATTTTAAAACTTTTCTTGCCACTGTCAGCTGCCCCCTCTTCTCCTTATGTCAGCACTAGAGTAAATGCAGGTTGAAGTGCTGACAGCCACATTTGTTAAGTGAATCACTTAACAAATAGTTGTTAAATTAGTAACATGGTTGTTGAGCGAATCTGGTTTTCCCATTTATTTTGCTTGTCAGGAGATTGAAAAGGGGATCACATGACCCCGGGGCACTGCGGCCATCATAAACATGAACCAGTTGTCAAGCATCCAAATCATATGACCATGGGGATGCTACAACGGTCATAAGTGTGAAAAATGGTCGTAAGCCACTTTTTTCAATGCCATTGTAACTTTGAACGGTCACTAAGCGAACTGTTGTAAGTTAAGGACTACTGTACCATTCTCCATAGTGTTTTACAGCAGTCTCTGACCAATTTACAGAGTCAGCATGTTACTCCCAACATCTGGGTCCTCATTTTACCAACCTCAAGGCTGAGTCAACCTTGAGCCGGTCAGGATGGAACTGCTGGCCCTGGGCAGTCAGCCTGCAATACTGCCTCCTAGCCCCTGTGCCACAGGATAGGCACCCTGCTCCTACCTGTCCTCTTGATGATTTCCCACACGCCCCAAGGTGTGGCAGGCAACATGGAATATTGGTCCAAGCACATGCGGCCTACATTCACCACGTGGAATCCATCCACATCCTTTTCAGGGTTCACAGCGTTGCAGATCTTTCGCTCGTCAATATGCTCTGCAAGAAAGGGGAGACTCTCAGTGTGACGGATTTCACATGTCTGACCACAAAATGGGGCACTGGCAAGGAGCGAGGGGAGTTATCAAGAAGTGAGACTGCAAAGTGTTGACGGATGATAGGAATTCATCTGAAGGAGGGTTACTGCACAAAGTGCAATTGACTGGACTTGCAAAACTCAGAAGTGACGGGTTGCTTCGCAGCATTACAGTTCAACTTGGTGCATTCCAAAGATCAGGAATGTCTGATACAAATCTCCCCACAAAAGCCCAGGACTTGCTCACCTGGTAAAGGAAGCTGTACAAGCAGGCCATCGACATTGGTATCATGATTTAGTTTGACAATTAAATCAAGCAGCTCCTCTTCTGTGATAGAGGCCGGTTTCAGGATTGTCTCACTACTAATTCCTGCAAGGAACAAATGCAATATAAGGAGATGGAAGTTACTCGAAACGGCCTCTCCACATGCCAGTTGATGTGGCCCAGAATAGAAGAGGCTGACAACATGCGGTTCAGGAACACCTCTCAGCAGCTGTCCAAGATCCTGCTTTGGGACTGCAGTCTTGGCTGCTGCACCCATGTCTACCGATTGCAGGAACAACCCAGAAAGCAGCTGTGAATAACAAACTCTCCTGCAAGGTCCTATCCTCATCCGCCATAAAACATCCAAGGGCCTGAAATTTCCTATGCAATTGCTAAATTCTGTGTCCCAGTCATAAGACTTTGCTATGTGCGGATCCACCAGTGCCAAAGCTGGTGATTCCCTTACGCTGAGATTTATGTTGCATTTGGGTTTTTTTTATGATCTTGAACTGTCCTAAAATCTGCATGTTACACTTACTGACTCTGAAGTGAAGCTGCAGCAGCTGCCCGTCTTCAAGAGGAGGGGGCATATGAACCTTCAAAAGACAACCCCACCCTTTCTTTCTCTGAAGAACAGGCCCACAGCATTGCTCGAGCAAGCGCTGCCTGGCAGAAGGCCAGAGAGAAGGCGGACGGACACCCCAGATTTAGCCTGCCCTGCTCCCGACAGCTAGCTGGGAAAGTCAGCTCAGGCAAACTCACCCACGTCAGCGGCTGCTCGGGTCTTGTTCAGCACATAGGAGTGGCTGGCAGGATTTTCTCCCACTAGAACTACGCTGAGATGGGGCCTTTTGTGGCCAGCAGCAACCCATTGTTCTACTTCGTGGCAGGCTTCTCGCCTAATCTGCCGGGCCAGCTTCTGTCCAGAAATGACAACTGCTTCATTCCTGCAAAGGAGGAGCTCTTCAGACTTCCCAGAATTGGGCCTTGGTTTCCCTAAGCAGCCCGGGTCATTTGTGCACACTGTCCCCAGTTGACAAACACGGGCCAGATAAAATGAATCGAAGTACGTTCTCTGAAGGAGGCCACACACAACATCTCAGCCGCAAGGAGTGGCTGCGCAGAGGTTGGGGTAACTTCAGACCTGAGCCCCAACTGGGCGCCCAGAAACCTCCCTCTGACACTTCAAAGTTCCACCTTCCACAGCCTGTGGAATCCTAGGCAGAGAGATGAGAGGTTTGACCTCAGGATGGGAGGCTGCAGTGTTTGGTTTCTCCTGGTACTCCACTTCCTCTTTGTTTGATATCCTCCTTTCTAGCCTATGCGGTTTTCCCTACAAACTTCACCCGGGAGCCTTCAATCCAGCTTTGGCTCCCTGCTTTCTTGTCACTGGCCACCCTGTACAACCAAGCCGCTGCTGGGCAATTCAAAGACGGAGCCCTGGGGGCAGCCTTTCCTATGACCCGTTACTCCAGAGGGCAAACGGTCGCGATCACAACTTGCTTATCTCGTTGCCAAAAGGCACCCAAGCCAAGCGACTCCCCGAGCAAGGAAGCCACAAAGGCGGCCGGCGCGCCTCCTGCCTTGAGGGGCTTTCAGGATAAGGCGCTCCAAACTAGCAACCACGTTCTCAGTGTTGCATCATGCATGGATGAGGCTTTCGTGGGTGCGGAAATTTCCCGCTGGAGGAATCCAAGGCAAGGCGCGCAGCCCAGGCAGCGAACGCGGAGCTCTGGCCACGCCACTTTTGCCCGGCAGGTGGGCTGGACTACAGCACCCATCGGCCGAAGCAAGCTTTGGGAGGACTCAGCGCTATGGGGGATCCGCCAAGCGCTCCCGGGGCCGTGGATGGGCGGGCGAGGCGATGCAAGGAGCCCGCAAGATTTCATCAGCCTGCAGCGCGGCGAGCGGCCACTGGGGGGCCCGGTCCTCCGCCAGCCCAGCGCGGCTGGGTCCTCCCCGAGAGGCAGCCGCCGAGGGAGGGAGCGGGAGCCCCGGGCAGCGCCCTCCGGTATGCCGCGCCCGGCTTCGGAGGCTCCCCCAGCGGAGCCCCAATCGCACCCCCTCCGCTTACCTGGGGGCCGTCAGATGCAGCCGACGCGCAGCCCTGGGCAGGTGTCGGCAGCCGCAGCCATCGCAGCCGCCGCCCCCTCCCCAGGCGGCCCGGGCCGAGGCTCGGAGGAGCAAGCGCGGGTAACCCAGAGGCGCCATAGCCGCGAGAGCGACACGGAGGAGAAGCCGCGGCGGCTGGAAGGCGGAAAGCGGAAAGCGTCCACCAAGCTCGCCTTATAAAAACTCCGGCCCCGCCCCGCGCGGCGCCATTGGCTGGAACGGAGGGGGCTCTTGCGCAGGCAACGACGACAGCGAGGAGCTCCGCGATTGGCGGAGGGAAAAACTGACGTAACACACGGAACCACAAGGACAAAAGGCGGGCCGAGGCGGCTGCCGTGAATTCTGATTCGCGAAGCAGGGCAAACTCTGCGCTCATTGGCCTGTGCGCCCCCCTCCCGGCGCGCAGCCTGCGCTTGTGCTGAAGGATAGACTACTCTTATACTCGAGGCTCCTTGCAGGGGAATAACCAGTAGGGATCCGCCGTGTGCTAAATGATTTGCTGTCTACAAGTTTACAAGGAAATTCCCCAAAATTTTTCTAAGACTGCCTCTGAACAAATCGACGCTGACTTTTAGTGTTAGTTTTTTTTCAAAATGTATAAATTGTTTTGCAATTTCCTGTAAATTTTCCCCAGATATGTATTAAAATGACTAATTCCTAAGCCTTTTTTTCTCCTTGTGAAAAAAGGGACAAGATTTGCCCTTCCTCGACCTATCAATGCTCCAAGAGTTCCTAAAGATAACAGTGTGTATTAATTTTAGCCATACCAATCATGAAAGCAATATTACTAATAGCAAATGACAGTGGAAAAACCCCTGAAAAATATAATAAACTGATTATTGCACCAAGAACAGTAACTACCTAAGTTTGGCAACATTACTAGAAAATCTTTGTTTTAAAAAAGGTTTTTTAAAATTTTCATACAATCAGATAGTGTCTTCCAAATTCTTTTAGCCAAAACCCAAGTTGATGGTAAATTCAAAATATTTGAAATATAGCTAAGAAGAACATAAGTATCTTTATTACACAAATGATCAATTCAGAATAATAGTAACAATTTTCTTAGTCCAAATGTGGCAAGAATAAGCCAAATCCAGTAATGGGACAAGTTCAAATTACGTCTAGCACCTAAATTGCATATCCAGCAAAAATTAGCATTATCACTATTAAACATTCTCTGAGATATCCAAAGTATTCAGTTTATTAATTTTACGATCAAGGAAGTTAACTTCTTGTCCTTTAAAAAAACATCTGGGTTACCACAAATGGTGCATCAATTGTCAGTTTCATCAACTCCCAATAAAAGGGTGACTGGTTTGAAGTGGCGGCTGATTCTTCCCAACCCATGAAAGCTTTTAATAACAACAGTGCCATCTGCATCAAATTGCTGAAATCACAAGTGCTCAGGCTGAATAATTTCCCCAAAAGCACTCTGGGATCAGAAATTTTGTCTTTCTTTTTTTTTTTTAATTTGATTTATATGCCGCCCTTTTCCAGAGACTCAGGGCGGCTTACAATGTGCTAAGCAATAGCCTTCATCCTTTTTGTATATTTATACAAAGTCAGCTTATTGCCCCCAGAACTGGGTCCTCAATTTACCTACCTTAGAAAGGATGGAAGGCTGAGTCAACCTTGAGCCTGGTGAGATTTGAACCTGCAGTAATTGCAGGCAGCTGGTCTTAATAACAGGGTGCTTTAGACCACTGTACTACCAAGGCTCCTTAATAGTAAGCTCCTTAAGCTCTATAAGAATGTTAAAAATACATTTTCACAGTACCCTGTTGACCAAAATAGTAAAGTCGTGAGAGGCCCAGCTTAGCTAGAAAATAATATATCGAGTTTATTATTTTCATAAATGGTCAAAATTGCACCTTTAATCCATATTAGTACTTTCCATATCATGCAGCTTTCAGGGTTGGCATTCTGAACTATCCCCACAAATCATTCAAGATCAGTCAGTAGGTATGTACTACTTTTCCAGAAGCTGAAGTCAGAATACGGTTCCTCCTCATTGCCAAGGGAATTGCACGTCCTTTCCTAGATAGTGAGCAGCTGCTCAACTATATCTTTCTCTTTATATTGAAGCTCTTTAGAAGGGCAATGGATCGAATTTGCATATGACAAGCTGGTGGGAACAGCCAACACTCCAGAAGATAGCTCAAGATGCAGACTTGAACACTGGGCCTATTAACAAAATAAAATTTAATGGTGAGAAAGTATGGTTTTATACTTAGGCAACGACACAGGTACAGAATAGGTGGTACCTGGTTTAATAACATCTAGGAGTCCTAGTCGAAAATCACATAAATATAAGCCAGCAGTATGTTGCAGCCACCAAAAAAGCCAATGCGGTCCTAAGCTGCATTAATCAAGATCATGTGAAGTGTTGGTAACGCTTTATAATGCTTTGTGGTAAGACCACACTTGTAATAATATTACATCCAGCTTTGGTTGCTATGATATTGATACTGAGATTGATATTGAGAGGTTGAGCCTCTAGAAAGCACAGAGAACAACAATGATTAGGAGGCTAAAGGCTAAAACATATGAAGAAAGATTGCAGGAATTGGATATGTCTAGTCTAATGAAAAGAAGGACTAGGGGTTATACAATAGCAGTAACCCAATATCTGCTACAAAGAAGAGGGGGTCACCCTATTCTCCAAAGTACCTGAAGGCAGAACAAGAAGCAATGGATAGAAAGTAAACGAGAACCAACCTAGAACTAAGGAGAAATTTCCTGACAGTGAAACAGCTTGCCTCCAGAAATTATGGGTGCTCCATAACTGGAGGTTTTAAACAAGAGATTGGATAGCCATTTGTCTGAAATGTATAGGTATAGGATCTCTTCTTTGTGCAGGGGATTGGATTAGAAGACTTCCAAGGTCCCTTCCCATTCTGTTATTCTATTCTATTATTCTGTTACTCAGTTTGTCTTGCTTTGCTGAAAACACCGCCATGCCTGAGCAAAACTTCACAAGCATGAACAATTGTCCCAGTGAAATAGTTGCATCTTTAATTCTCCGTTCCACTGAGAGGCAACAAAACACCATTATAACTAAGATCCCAGCAGAATAAAGGATAAGGAACCTGGTGAGTTCTTGTGCACTCTTTAGCATCAGCAATCATGGCTGGAACTAGAGATGCCATGCCCGTCCTAATTTGAGAACCACTCATTGACTCAGAGAACTCACATCTAAAGGATCACGGATTAAAAAACCCTATTTCCAAACCCATTGTCCTCCAGAGGCTGAGGGGTTATCAGACCTGAAAACTAATTAATCTGGATTCGATCACAGAGTGGTTCTCAGGATCCTACTGTCAATATTCAATTCATAGTAGTGAAAGAAACCCTAGGAAAGCCTGTCCTTTCGAGGGAAATGGTTTGACCCAGATGAATGTGTTTTGACAAATGCTGTTCTGGAACTGATTACAGCCTTTCTCGTCAGCAAAGGAGAAATCTGGAATCCGTGGTGAATTCAATTAATAGGCAAGGATGTTTCCAAATGTAAAATGTGGCAGGATTCTCTGTATAGCTTCTATGTCAGCATTGTGCAAGATCAGCGCTTGTGAGAAATATGTTTGTGCTGCACTGGTTTGTTTTGTTAGACTGACTCTTCATACTAAATCTGTATTACTAAAACTCTTGTAACCTTTAACTAGGCGAAATGGTGCGTCATAGGGCAACAATTTTTGAACCAAGATACCTCAAATAGGCTGTTACAGAATGCACCCAAAATCTAGGATCCATGACTTCTGCGAGATTGAAATTTGGCAAATTTGTGGTCACTTCAGTGATGCCGTGTTGCTCTGCCACTGCCTGGAAGTTCAGTAGCCCCCCCACCCCAGCAGAAGCCTGGTCTCTTCTTTGGCTGCTGAAGGTCAAGTAGACCGGTCCTGCCCTAGCTCTCAGCCCGCCATGGCCAAACTGGCAGAGAACTACTGCTCCCCATACTTTTTTGCCCTTGTTCATTCCGTTTCTGTTCCGTTTAGGTTAAAAAAAAAAAACACCTCTAAAATGATGACCCAACAGGTAAATGGTTTGTTTAATTACAGATTCAAAGGAAGATTCTTTTTTCATTGTACTAAGGACCCAATGTGGTCTTTTCTCCAATTCTATCCTCAATCTCTCATGCCTCTGACCCCAATGTTTTCTTTGATCAGAACATTTCTACTGTGTTTCCCCGAAAATAAGACCTTGTCTTATATTTTTTTGAACCCTGAAATAAGCACTTGGCCTTATTGCCATGCACTCAAAAGCCCAATTGGGCTTATTATCAGAGGACATCTTATTTTGGGGGAAACAGGGTAGGAAATTTATATCTTTAGTTGAAAGTCAAAGTATTGCCTACTGAACCCAATATGGTGGTTAAACAGCCATACTTTTGCTGGACAATGATGCTGTGTCAAAGATAATCCAGGCTTATTTATTTATATCCCACCTTTATTATTTTTTCAAATAACAGCACAGTGAACCACCTTTCTCCTATTTTCTTCACAACAACCACCCTGGTGAGGTGAGTTGGGCTGAGAGAACTGTTGGCTTATTTATATAATTGATTTGCTATCCATCTCATAGCAAATAACTCTATCCAGCTTCCAGCATTAAATGCTTTTCATGGCTAAGGCTCGGGTAAGTCTAGAACTCACTGCCTTCTGGTTTCTAGCCTGGTACCTTAACCACTAGACCAAACAGGCTCTAATAATTCTAAATAGTTGCATAGATTGAGGAAACCACACCAGATATAAGTAGAAGCTGAAGCCAATCAAGAGACATCTTTACAAAGGTCCCATAAAAATTGCAGTGTAAGCTGTAAAATACACTTAATAGTTTAAAAAAAGCCATCATTCTCTCTTCCTCCCTCCCTCTCCAGCAAAAATAAACATGATTAAGGACCATGATGGAAGCTTTGTACATTATTCCACAAGTAGACATTTTATTGTCACAATGACCTCCTATAAAAACATAGCTGTATTATTTAGTCCTTCCACATAACAAAGTGGTGTGTCAGGGTAACAATGTTTGCATGAGTGTTTACAAGCTTGGAAAGGATTAGGATATATTCAGTGTGGTGGCCTCTACTTTATGAGGGTTTGCAGTTCACACAAAGTTGTGCCTGTGAGTAAAGCTCTACCCCAAACTCAAATTATTTCCCTGAGCTGGCTGCCACTTCTGTAGCGGATGACTTCCTTGTGTGATTGACTAAGAGCTATAAAGCAGGGGTGTCAAACTCATGGCCCGCTGGCCGGAAGAATCACATGCTGGTCCCGGCCCTGGCCAGTTCAGCAAAGGGGGATAAAGTCCCAACACGTCACATGATGCCACCGTGACACGAGTTTGATAGCCCTGCTATAGAAGGTGCAACTTCTCTAATGCAGGAGGGGAGAAGAGGCTTACTCGCACAATACTATGCTTCCCCCTTGAAATATTGAGCCCCAATATTGTGCTTCCCCCTTACAGACTCTGTGTAATACCTTAACAGGTGCTCTTCACTAATATCAGTCTATATTATATTCGATGTAATCACTAGGAGTCAAAAATGATTTGATGGCACACAATCCATTTACCCATCCAATGCTCTGCCCAGTTCAGAACCACAAAGCATGTGTGGGTCAGAAAGCTTAAGTTATCACTGCTCATAAGGACTTTTATATTTGACATCTATTTAGTTCTCTATATTAGTGGGAAACAAAAATAAAGACTATTACTGAAATCAAAATGAGTATTACTTCTAAGAGGAATGAGTGGTGCGGTGGCCCCGAGGTGGAGCTCTCGCCTCACAATCAGGAGGCTGTGATTTTGATCCTAGTTGAGGTAGATAGTTCTCTCTCTGGGCACATTGAGACTATATCATTAAAAGAAGATGATGATGATTACTTCTAAGAGGAATATTTGTAAATGAGCTTGACTATTTTTCTAGCTTCCCTACAAGGGTACAAAAAGAATACCACTCTATTAAGGAAGTATGATTCTTAAAGCTGTGGCACCTTTCAAGTTCTGGTGCAGTGCTCAGGATAAGACCAAAGTACACACAGTTCTTGGTTAACAATGGTAATGGATTGGGAATGGGAATCCCATCACGACGTGGCATGGTCATAAAGCGTGACATCACATAACTGCGCTGGTTTATGCCAGCAGCTCCAGAGGTTCCACACAGTCGTTAAGTATGTTACCATTGGTGACCTCCTGCCAGCTTCTCCACTGACTTTACTTTTCAGAAGCTAACAGTGGAGATCACGTGACCATTGTAAATGTGAGCTGGTTGCCCAGTGACTGAACTGCAATATGTGACTCCAGGGAAGTTGCAAGAGCTTCAAGTCTCTTCCTTCACCACTGTCATCACTCAGAATGACTGCTGAATAAATGGTCATTAACCAAAGATTACCTGTAATGCTTCAAATAACATTTTAAGCATGCAGAGCCCTACTAGAAAGAAAACAGCAGGATTTGGCCTTTACAATTGAATTGGAAAAAAAAAAGTCATTTAAATTTATTTCCCACCTTCAGAATGCTATAATGTCAAACTATTCCTCATTAAAACTCTATCTTATTTGGTATTACATTTAAAGCAATAAATAGACCAACACCTTCTCAACAACAGAAGGAAAAGGCAGTCCTGCCCATCATAGCTAATGATGATGCATTACTGGGATTGTTTAAAGATAATCTTAGAAAACTAGACTGTCCGAGAATTGGTATAAAAGCAGCCTTTTTATAAGAAAGGCTCTTTAGACTTCAAGCAATTTTAATACTTGTGAGTCTACAACTATTAGCATCCCCTATTATCAGAAACTTCAACAAAAGCAGCAGCAATTTGCGTTATATTTCAAATAAATTTCCATCTGAGCCATGACAGAGTTTTGAATTAAAAATAAGAGCAAGATAATGTTGCAAGTATTTTTTCCTATTCTTTTTCGTTCTTAGCTTTAATACCACGGATAAGGAGACTTTCACTGTAGTCTTCTTGAAAAAAACTCTAATACAATTAAACGAGTTAAATTTTCAATCTGACATAAATATTGCTGCTGAAACCAGGCATTGGTGATTGGAAGGGGGAAAGACAGAAATACAGCCCACTAGTTTTATGATTTTCCAGTGGGCATCTTCTCACAACTTCTGAAAGGCGTAATTTTCATATCAGTCAGTTCTGTGCTTGGGAACAGAAGTGAATATCCGCAGTCCATGCATTGTTTTAATTTCTTCACTTAGAGCCTAGAAGAAGGAGGCATTGTATGCAAAAGAAAAAAATAATTTCAGGCAGAAACTGGCAACATATAATATATAAGCTATCCATTCATAGGATAAGAAACAAGCCCAAATACTAAATATAGCAGTTTTCACTTTACTTAGAACAATATTTCTAGGCCACCTTTGAGAACAGAGCTCCTTCCAATTAAAATTAAGACATCCGAACAATGCAAAAGAATCATGAGAGGCATGCATGAAATCCAAAGGAGTAAATAATTGGAAATACTTGAAATCCAAAGCTCCTGTAGAATTCCCAGTGTTAAGGTCCACATGCTTACCTGATTAACCATCTGGTGCTGCTGAATTGTTCTCTTTTCCTTAAAATCTTCTGATTCTACATGTATTTCGTACATTGCTCCACAACCACCTTGACAAAATGAGTTGATTTTATCACATTTAGGGATTAATCTGCTTCAATCTTTTCAGCTGCTTAAAACTTCACGTTTTTAATCTTAGTAAGACTATTTTAAGTAGAGATTATATGTTCCTATCATGGGAAATAAGTATTTCATAACTGAATATAAAAAGCAATAGCTCACAAGCAGAAAATAACAAAGTTAATAAATCATTTAGGAAGCATCTTTTGAATAATATGGGACAAGATTAAGCTCATTTTAGGTAACGTTCAGACTAATGTTTACTAGAGATCAGTTGGATTCTCAGTTAAAACCATATCTAAAAACAAACGAACCTGATCATTCACATCTCCCAGCTAGAAACCATCTTAACCAAACTTTTTAACTATTTCCATGGTATTTATTCAGATATTTATCCAAAATGCATTAATTAACCAAGGGTGCGCACCCTATCTTACTCCCTCTTCAATATCAATTTATTTACCCATCAAGTCCATTTAGAGTATTCACTTCCTCCATATTCGTACAATATCCCATCATCCAAGGAAACATGAAAGTATCAGGCAAGCAATGAGGGAACTAAATTCTAGTCCTGCCTTAGGTACTAAATCAATTGGCTGATATCCACTCATCCTCAGAAGAAGCTATGGCAATGTGGTGTTAGCCCTCCTCATCTACTTCAAATCACTTTTTATTTACATCAAAAGTGTTGTGCATTTTCTCTACCTTTTTAAATCTTCAGTCTCTCAGACTATTTTTTTCTCATCCAGTTTCCTTCATTTCACTTATTTTGCCAAGAATATTTTTTCATGCATTCCACTGGAATAATCCCACATGATTCTGAGATACTCACTTCACTAACATTTTATCTTGTATTCATTCAGAAAGTGTTGATATTCAAAGTTTCTATTTCATTTGGATTTTTGTTATGGTGTTTAGATTGGGATCAAGATTTTTAATTCAACTCTCTCTTCTAGGAGGTCCATCCAAGTGGACATATATAATTATAGAGCCACCATTATGTCATTTTGTCATGTCACTTTTTCTGTCCAGTGGAATATCATTCTTGTCACTACACATTTTTTATCTACTTTTCATTAATTCCATTGAGAGAATAATCTATTTTTTCACAGAAGATTTATGCTTTATTATCGTTATGGATTGTTTTATCCAGTCACTCTACTTTGTCTCACATTCAGAAAGTTTTCATCATCTTGTGTGTATCCTTCACAAACTATCTCAATTCTTCATTAAAAACAATCAAACCAACTATGATTTTAGAATTATAGTTATTATTTATGCTTAATTTATGTGTTCAAAAGTTATTTTTCTAAAAAGAAACTCACCAATCAATCAGCACTCTTAGTGAGATTCAAAGGCCCAGCTTTTCTGCTGCCTCTCATTTTGTTCCACTCATCCATTCATATCAGAACATTTTTCTCTCCAGATTGCAGTCATTAAGAATGTTGCATTATTTTTCCCAAAATTCATCTCTGGTTCTTCCATTATGACTTTCATGGAGAATAACATACACTCTTAGTTTCATATGCAACTGACTTACAACAACTTAGATACCATCAATTCATACTTTCTAGCATATGTTTTAGCCCATTCATTCGTTAATGAATTCATTAAACATATTTCAGCAACTATATGCAGTATTTTCTGCAATACCAATTTGAAGATGTTGTGCAATATACCACGTCATATACCATTGCTTAACAGATTTACCCCAAGCAAGTACACACTATTCTGTGTCAGCTAAGATCTCTCTAAATCAATATAACATTGCTTGCATTCTACCAACTATCAGTATATACTTCAGGATGTGGACGTTTTATGTGTTGTTTGACTAGCTGTGTCACTGGATTATTTTGCTAAAGCATTTCAATCTTTTGAGAACTCTTTCAAAACCTAATGTACATTTAACAGTTAAAAAAAAGATGGACTCAATCTTAACCTAAGGATTAAGATTATAAATGCAATGAAACACCAATCAACAACTTTCTTCAAATCTGACGTTGCAGTAAAATGACCGAGAGAACACAAGAGCTACGGCAGTAGAATAAGCAGACAAATCCTCCAGATGCGAATGACAGACAGCCGCATGAAGGTCATCGCAGAAAACCCCTAGAATCCCAGAGAGATTTCAGTGGGGACCTAGTGAGAAACGTCTCTCCTCACCTGAGATATCGACGACTTTAATCGCAACAGCCTGGGGGAACTTCTCCTGAAGGACTCGGGTCATCCGGATTTCCCCCTCAGTTTGGGAAGCAAAGGACCGCCCTCCGCGGCGCAGAAGAAAAGCGATCTGCGGGGAAACGGACACGATTGTGGTTAGCAGCAAGTAAAGCTGGATCAAAGCCCCCCCCCCGGGGGACTCCGCTCCGGGATCCCGAAGGATCGCGCAGGGAAGGCAGCGAGGGATTCCCCGCTTCGGGCAGTCCGCGCCCACTTTATCCCTTTGGTCATCCTCCGCCAGTCTCCCCCGGAGCCTCCCCCCGGGCACCGACCTTCCTCCGGCAGGCGGGAAACCAGGCGGCAGCGGCCATGATGCCGTGACGTCAGAGGTCGGCGCGGGTCGCCGGCGCCGGGTGATGACGTAGAGCTCGCGCTCCCGCCGCCAATTGGCGCGGCGGCCGAAGGACGAGGACGGTGCTCCTCCCCCCCGCCCCCCTCCCCTGCCTGCTGCGCCGCTCTGGCTGTCGGAGGCGCCGGGCTAACGGAGGGCGGGAGGGGCTCGGGGAACCTTGGCAAACGGCTCGCCTTGCTGCTTGGAGAGCGGCCCAGAAAAGCGCAGTCATACAGACAGATACGGCTGATCCTTACAACCGTTCGTTTAGTGACCGGTCAAAGTTACAACGGTACTGAAAAAAAGACTTATGACGGTTTCAGCGGTCACGTCGTCAAAATCCGGATGCTTGGCAGCTGGTTCACATTTACGACGGTCGCGGTGCCCCGGGGTCACGTGATCAGGCTCTTGCGACTTTCTGACAAGCAAATTCAATGGGGAAGCCAGGTTCACTTCACAACCGTGTTATTAATTTAACAACTGCAGTGAATCACTTAATAAATGGGGCAAGAAATGTAAAATGGGGCAAAACTCAGTAAATTTCTCAGCAACATAAATTTTGGGCTCCACTGTGGTTGTAAGTCGAGGACTCCCTGTACTACTTTTATTATAAAAGGGAACCATTTTGGTGTAGTGGAGAAGGTGCTGGCCTAGAAACCAGGAGACAGTAAGTTCTAGCCCCGTCTTAGACATGAAAGGCAGCTGGGTGACTTCGAGCCAGGTCCTTTTTGTCAGCCCAGCCCACCTGGCAGGGTTGTTATTGGGAAAATAGGTAGCAGGAATATTAGATATCCCACCTTGACCTTTTATTTAAAAAGAGATAAAAATCTAGTAATGTTACAACATCTGCATCTTGCAAGTCTGAGTGTGCTTCCCCCTCCCTCTTCAAGAGGTCAAGTCTGAGGTGCTTTCTCCGATTACAGGGTGTCCGAGTGTTTGACCAAGGGCCTGGTTGTGGCTCTTCTTCCTGCTCTTCAGGCATCCAGGAAGTGTTGCAAAGGAAGGGCTGTCTCGAGATCATCCTCCTGCGACTGGGGAAGATGGTAATGTGGTGCCCCTTTCACTGCCTACGTGATTGATATGTGGATGTCACATATGTGATATGTGGATAATGTGGTGCCTATGCTGCTCTGGACCAACTGAGGGGTAACCAGGACATGAGAGACAGAATAAATATACCATTCCAGGCAAATGGCTATCCATCTCTTCTTAAAACCTCCAATGACAGGACACCCACAACTTTTGGAGGGAAGTCGTTCCCCTAATTATTTGTTCTATTGGGAAATTTCTCCTTATTTCTAAGTTGGATCTCTCCTTGGTAAGTTTCTATCCATTATTTTTTAATCAGCTAGGTGAGAGATTCAGAACTGAGTATCATCTGCATGTTGACAATACCTCACCCCAGGTTGGCATATAACGTCACCCAGCTTTTTCATGTAGATTTTAAAGAGAAGGGGAGAGAAATCAAACCCTCCACAAATGTGGACCCGTCCCCAACCTCTGAAGCCAGTCCAAAAGGATGGTCAGCGATATCAAAAGCTGCTGGGAGGTCAGGGAGCACGAGGCTGGATGCACCAACTCTTATCTCTACTCTACCATAAGTCATCAACAAATATGACAAAAGACGTCTGCAGACTGAAACCTGACCAAAACTAGTTCAAATATAGTCCTTGACTTACAACCATTTGTTAAGCTACCATTCAAAGTTATAGTGGTACTGAAAAAACTGACTAATGACTAATCCTCACAGTTATGACCATTGCAGCATCCCCAGTCACACAATCAAAATTTGGGTGCTTGACATGATGGTTGGAGTCAGATGATTGGCTTTTGCGACCTTCCCAGATGGCCTCTGACAAAATCAACGGGAGAAGCCAGATTTGCTTAACAACCAGTTGATTCACTTAATCACAGCAAAAGATGTAAAATCGGGTAGGGCTCATTTAACAACTGCTTTGCTTAGCATGGAAAGTCTGGTTCCAACTGTGGTTGTAAGTCAAGGACTACCTGAAAGCCATTTCCTCCAGGTTCCCCTGAAGTTGAAGCCTGACCATCCTGTACATTGCCTTCCCAAGAAAGGGACATTTGGAGGCTGGATGACAATTGTTCATGATTGTTGGGTCCAGCAGTCTCTCAGCAACGTTTACCTGAGTAGACTGTCCATCATAGCCTCTTTTAAGGCTGAGAGAGGCAAAAGATTTCTCCCCAAAAAGGTTTAATAAATATGTTGAGCTTCAAGATGCACACACAAGGACCATGATCATTGATAACTTCATAAAAATTTCCATTTTAAATTAATAAAATTATTAAAAAGAATGGGGTGAGAATGAAAAGGAGGGAACCATCTAAACACTTTTTGTATAATACTTTTTTTTCTAAATGTTTTACTGTCTTTACAATATCAAGTATTGATATTAATACTTCATATAATCCAGTATCTGATTTTTTTTTAACATAAAGGATGCTGTGCTCCAGTGGTTAGATAGCCAAGGCCCTAGACATTGGGATTTGAACATAGATCTTTTTAATATTTAGATTTTATTGTGTTTTACTAATCTAGATAAAATGTTAATACACATTACTGATCCATGTATTATATGCCATACCCTAAATAAATAATTATATTCAAGCTTGTCACTACTGCTATCAATGATGGATTCTGGGCCTGTTCCCTGAGGACCAGATTTGCCAGACTGCTACTGGCAGATGCAGGCAGACAATAAAAAGATTGTCCAGATTTCACCACTGTAATCCCCATGATGTAATTCCTAATAGGGGTTCTTACTCAGCCTGTATCGGATGCACCCTTTGTTTCCCTCCAGTTATGATCCTTGTGTCTCTTCTTGCATTTCAATTCCTGAAGCTCCTCAGTAAATCAGGATGTATTTTGGGATTGCCGCCCAGGGAGAGGCCATGTAAGAGCAGTACAGTCCAAGCGCCCAATCTCTTGCCCATTCTAGGCCATGACCAGGGCCTCAACCAAACTGCCCACCAGACCCTCAGGAAAAGGCCCAAGCTCTCTGAAAGGAACCGAGTCCGTCAGTCATGTGAACTGAGCAGTAAAACAGGTGCTGTAGGCTGGTATCATGAATCTCCATAAATGTGGGTTGTTGTTGTTTTGCTAGAATCAGAAGATGAATTGGCTGTTCTTGTTTCTGTTTTAGCCAAGGCTGGAATTAACTAAATAAGTAATAGGGTCACATGGTTTGATTAACTAGCTTACTGAAAATCACAATTGGCTGAGTTCACAGAGCATACTAAATCACAAGCCTGCAAACTATGTTATGGCTTGTCTTAAATTTATTGTGTCATCCCAGACTGACTAACCATTAGCTTTAAGGAATCAGTTGCTTGTACTTGGTTCAGAACTGTTTCACAAAATGATTTTGCTTGCACATAAGTAGTCAAAACCACCTTTGCAATATGCCATTTAGTTGGTCAAAACAGTCTATCCCAGATCCTGATCAAATTCAATTGCATTTAGTAATTACTCCCCTTGGATTGGTAAATGGACATATTTACAATGTTTAAATTCAAAATGCCTTTTAAAAGACACAAAAATATTGTGTTTTTTTGGGGGGATGGGTTGAGTAAACTCTAAAATACTAAGATGAACCCAAGAGTGGCAACCAGAAGGCCGTGGAATGGTGGTGACCAATTCAGCGACACATGACAAAAGAAGAACTGGGGAGGATTCAGATAAGGGAAGGAATGGAATGGATGCAACGAAGAGGGAAGCCATTTCTTGTTCAGTTGTGAGGAAAAATAAATAAGAGAAAGAGCTAAAATAAAAATGGATTGAGATTGCATGAGTGGATAGATCTGTGGTCCGCATATCCTGAATAGGACAGCCCTGTATTTGTTGACTGGGAGAAAAACACACTGAATTTGAGTGCAAAAAATAAATATAAAATTTATTAAAACACCCACAATAGTTTAAGATATCCGGAATAATACATTTCACAAACCAGTTGGCTGTGTAACATAATAAAATACAAATTAAAAAAAAGAAAGATTCATACTTGCCATTTTTTGCATCCTAGAAATAAATTTGCCAAGACATTGATGGGGGGAAAAGTATGAAAGAAAAAATACAAGGAAATTATACAAAATAAAATTATCAGCATAGACTTACTGTACTAAGGTTATCTACAGTTTAATACACAAGTCCTATTGCCTTGAGACATTGTAAATCTACTGTTGTCAACCAACCCCAGATAAAACTTCATTTCAAGTAGCCACAGTCAAATCAACAAAGAAATCTTCACGTGTGGTCACAAGGTGGCCTCCGCTGGAGGTCTCGTTTACCAAATGTGAATTCAAGGAGACAAGAAATCCAATCCCTTGAGTAGTCACAGCCTTCGGTTAACTAAACTGAATTAGTCTGCCAAATCCAAACTGGTGTTTTCCTCATTTCTTTAAATTAAAAAAAGCATTTAAAAGACTGTGATATAACATTTATTTAGAAGACAGATATGAATGAAAAATAAATGCCAAAAGCCAGCTAAATAGATATTTCCATAGACTGAATAGCAGGGAGTAAATCTCCAAAAGCAGGTGCTAAAATGAGAAAAAGCAACCAAAAATCGTAAAATAACAATAAATCCCTGATACTGGAGCAGAAGAAAACATAGCCAGTTTGCTTTACTATGCTTGGGCAAGAATAATAAATTTTTTTAAAAAAATTGTTTTGACCATGTAATAATAATCTTTCTGCATGCAAAGAATCTCAATGCTTTTAAAAGGACCAGCAATAACATTAGTTTGCTCTTCAATGTAACAGCTACATTTTGCCATCTTGAAAGCAATGTTCCAGATATTAAAAGTGTAAAATAGTATCATTTAAAGATATTTTTTACTGAAGGTTGGTATATCCAGTTGGTATATCACTAACTAACCTTTGCATATTGGGTTAAATTTTGTCATGATCATTCAGCACTGATCTTGCTTTCATTTTACTAATCAGCCACACAAGAATCACCAGATGGTAGCTTTGAAAAGTCATGTCCTTTTTGGTTATGCATGATAATAAAACCAGGATCCTGTTGAACCTGCCCCAAAAATGTTTTTGCAGAAAAAGAGAGAAGAACTTGTTTAAATCTATCAATTATGCCAATTTTTTATTTTTAATTAAAACAACTATTTTATTACTGATCATATTTTTCTTAAGATGTTACTTCTAAAACTATTTTCTCTTGTGGGTCACATTCTGCTGTGAGCTACTTCAGGAAGGCCTTGCATACTGTCAAGAACACACCATCTCTTAAATGCTCTAGAATATTCCTCAAGATAGTTCATTAATATTGAAAGTGAGAAATTGCCCAAGAATAGAATGCAAAAGGCTGTACAGTTACTAAGATGTCAAGTACAGTATTGAATTAATAAAATACATAACCTTATTTCTAATATTTGCAGCCATGCCATTATTTATAACTGAATCACAGGTTGCCACAATACTCTGTTTTCTGAGGTATTTTGAATGTATTGTGGTAACAGCAAGCTTATATGAGAAAATCCTGGTTCTATACACATTAAGCAAATTCTGTGAACCAAAGTGAAAAAGAGAAACTGAAGAAATGGAAAATAAATAGCACCAAAATAGTATTTTGTAAAAGTTTAAGACACATCTACTTACAAATAGCAAATACACAAAGCCATAATAGCAGGTTGAAGCTGACTTATTAGACTAAGGATTAGCCAACCTTGTATGATCAGATCCACATTCACACCACCTGCCCAAACCTAGCCTGCTAACAGGCTGGACTCTTGATTGATATTGACCTCAATAAATATGCTCACACTGAGGTGTAACTATGGTCCAACAAGGACTTTCCATGGGTAAGGCAAGCAGCACTGGGATGACCGCTCTAAAGTGTTTCCTGGTAACAATGGAAGCAAGCAAGCCAAGTAAGGTGGCAACTACGCTGCTTTTACAAATAGCTGCTTTTACAAATAGCTGCTCTCTCGGAGTGACCTCAAAACTTCAATTAAGCACCCATAGTTTTGCATAATAGTTACCAATATACAGTAATATGGATTGTTGCACCATGCACACTTGCTAAATTGGCACAAGTGTTACTCTGAGTACAGTTTGCAGTACCTTAATTTCTTTATTTTAAAGAAATGGGTTTTCATTTACCCATTTGTATCAAATAATTTGTGGCTTGATCCCAAAAGCCCTTTCCAGAGATGTTAATTTTGTAAAACTACAAATCTTACATTCTCAGAACCAGCCCTAGGAGTGCAGAACTGTCACTTAAACCAAAGAAATCTGTCCTGGATCTACATACATGTAAATGAAGCCAGATATGCACTTATGTATTTTAGATCCAGAATAGAAGTTTTAGAAACTACAAATATTTAAAATACTCAACCTTTCTGTTTTTAGTTAATTGTAGAGTTCTCTGGTTAGATAATAGCACCTAAGCAAGATGGAATCTGTTCCCTCACCTTAAAAAGCAACTTGTTTAAAGAACTCATCAAGGTAGCACCTTTTTATTACAAGATTTTAGTTGATTAAAAATATGCCTTTGAATGAGCCTACAAAGCACATTCTGGCATTATGCACCATCAGCTGTATCATCTCAGAATATTTTTGTTCCTTCCTCTTTTGCCTTTAGTGAGTGGGAGCTCAGCCTAGGCAAGTGTGAGCCTTCCCAGCCTTCCCTCACTCAGTTGGAGGTAATGGAATCCCCTGCACAGGAGAGGGGAGGCATGTTGGGCAAGAAAGGCATACACTGTGATGCCTTCTTTTGATGCTTCTTAGCTGCCTACTCGTCACAGAGCAGCAACAAGGAGACACACACCCATTTAACGTTTGTAACAAGTTTTGCAGACAAACAACCACTTTTTGTCGAGCTGAAAAGCTGGTAAAGGAATTATGTCAAGTGCTCATCTGCCACTTGACCCTTCCATGCTTTGTACATAAACAATGACTGATGGGAACAACTCCTGATTTGACAAAAAGAGATTCAAGTGCCCAAAGCAGAGACTGTGTCCTATAGCCAAACAACCTCAAACTCCTCCCAGAGAAGTCAATGAGAACTAGCCAAGTCTTCATGTGCAACACAATTCAACGTTTCAAGAATTTTTCCAGGGATTATGGATTTTTTTTGTCTATAGCACCAGGGTTAAGCTTGATGGCACTTAATAACCTCTTTCCATCATTACGCCTCCTCCAATACATTTCAGTATTATATTTACTTATTTTGCTGTTGATTTATGAATTTGACACGTTGGTTCAAAAGACAATGCTTGTAGCATTTGTTCATGCTTTTAGAGAAGACAATGCAATGACCAGGGTGCCTAGCACCTTGACTTCCTACGTCTTAGGATATTCAGTCACAAGTGCAAACTGGCAGTGCTCACCAAGCTTACTGCAAGAAATTAATAGCATCATTAGCCCTACAAATCTTTTTGCGAGTTGACACAACGGCACCCCACTGGGTCATCTTTGAGCCTTAAGATGCCATTTACCCATACGCTTCTAAATACAAATAAACTGTGTCCTACAATTTTCTGAATTGTACAAACCAGGAGAAAATGACAGAGCCAATGAAAAGAATTTCTAACTTCTATCCACAACGCTAAAGCAGAGAATCCCGTGCATAGATCTATCTTTCACATGTAATTCTGAAGCAAACTTTTTTTCTCTCACAACTGAGATATGAGGTAGGTTTTATATATAGCATGAAAACAACCTCAGACTGCAGCTGACTTTTTGTATTAAAAACATAAATTTATCTGGGATCAGTCTTGTTTTTACTTAAAACATCTTTATGTTAAATCAGGCATGCGAAAAAGTATAATCAACCATGAACTCCATGGTAACTCTGTTTTCTGTTATTTTCTATTTGTATTTTTTATTGTACATATTTACTTCATGATTTTGAATTGCAAAATTGTAAATAACAAATGTGCCAGATTTTGATGGCATTCATATTCTATAGATTTAATACTGATTTATGACCAGATTTCTTTATATTTGTACCACAGTCATTTAGGCCTTTAAAAGGTATACTATTTCAGTAAAAACTAGTGATTCCAGTTTAACTTGCTTTGGACTTGTACAAGTTTGAACAAAGAACATAATTTGGTCCTTTTTGATTATTAGTGAAAATAAAACAAGTTGAAGAGCCGACCTTTGCATTAGCATTTCTCCTTTTCTCTGTATAAACTGATCTGGACCAAATAGGGACCTACCAGCTCAACACCTCTTGATCATCAGGTAATTCCTGGTTTTTGAAGACTCGGAACATGGAACCCTCCTTTTATGGAAGGTCCAGTGAACAGGATTTCCAGCTCAGAAAAGTATAATCTCAAGGCTGGACAGTTCCAAAGACAAGAAGTTGAATAATTAACATTATTTCAACAAGTCAGATGTATTGGAGCCCCTTTTTTTCCATATACTTTTACAAATTCTTGTTCTCTAAAATAATCTAAGTGAAGCTTTCAGATCACCTCAGCAACATTTACCAAATGAGATACTAAACCAAGGAATTTACATAAGCCTAAACAAACCATACAAAATATTGGGGTAGAAGAGATTCTTTTCTAGTTAATAGATCCACCTCACAACTATCAATGAGAGACAGGCATAAAGTTGGCCTAACAAGGCAGAGAAATTGTGTCTCGTGACTGGTTGTTCAGAGGGGGCTTCTAGATGGAACCATTACAGATTGCAAGGCCCAGTTTATTGCTTGAAAGCAACCTCTTCTCAATACTTCCCCTTCTGCCAACCATCTTAATTTGAAACAAAGCGGCTCTTAAATTGTAGTTCTTGCATCTGGACTCTGAAGTGATACAATTCAGAACCAATGATTAACCAACAGTTTTACTTTGTGTTTAATTGAGCCTCTGGTACAGATGCCCTGAAACCTGGCTGATTGACACCAATGGAAAATTAGTGGCTGGTGTCGGTTTAATCCTATGACACTCAGAACATTTCCTATAAATCTGCCTTGGAATAATTCTTAACAGCTATGATATGCTCATAGGTATGCATCCAAAATCAATTATAATTCATTGATTCTCCTTGCAAAATATAAGCAATTTTACAGAATACAGTAAACAAAAGAAATTAAGGACGGAAAAGCTTGTTAAATATTTTGTTTCTATTTACATTTCTCCCGCAATAATCTGTTTTAAAACATACTGTTCTTCAAGTTATTGGGTATCTCTTTCTTTTAAATCTTGGTGAAAGTGCTTTTAAATTTTTTTTTTTTTGCTATTTACAGTTTAAAATCAGAACCACATAAAACACACAGGATGCTCTACAGTGATAACCCACCCCCACCCCCGTTGCTCCTGCTGCGAGGCGCAAGGACTGAGAAAGTTTCCTAGTAAACAAATGTTATGTACAGAGTTGGATCTGCAAGCCATCTTTTCTCAAAAGGCACCGGTTAAAGTTCAGAAGGTGATCTTTAATAGGTTTGATTCTTCTGCCTTCTGCACCACTGAGAAACCACTCATGTTGGCTTATTAAAGCCAGTGAGGATCTACTCTGGTGAAGGAGTGAGATCTCCATTTTTCTACAGAAAGACCCGTAGTAAAAGGTAGCAAGGATTCTTAAATTTATCATAAGAGTTGCCACCACCCAATCTGAAGATGGCACAAAAGAGGGTGTGGAAATGTTCCAAAGGTGCCATCTCCAGGATTGAGAGCTCCCATCTCCA